GCAGTCTTATGTGGACGAGGATGTAAGTGAACATTGACTCTTCAGTCTCTATTTTCTCTAACTTTGTTTTTTTTTTTTGTATATGTATGTGTTCTAAAGTTTGTTTCACTTTTTATGTTTTTATGTGGACCAGAAGGATGAGTCTTTTTACACTGTGGGTTGGGCATGCAGTGATGAGGGGAGTCCATTCATTGTTGCTGGAGGAAGCAAGGGGATAATCCGAATCATTGATGCTGGCCGTGAGAGCATATACAGGGTATTTTGGTTACAGTAATGAACTCGTGATAATCTGCATGAAGCTTTTGAACATGTGATTATAGATTTTTTAAATTTCGGTGGCGATTGTAAGAGATTATATGGAGCTTATGTCGGTTTATTTTGTATAAAAGCATTTCAAGGTGGTCTTTGATTGATGGTAGCTCTGTTTACTTTTAATTTTTATGGTTAAGTACTTTTTCTGAATTTTGTTTCGTAGAAAAAAATATTGGTGTCCTTGTTGGAGTTTAGTTTCAGCTTATTAAAGTGGTTCATGTCTTCATATTCATTCTTCTTCGCTTATTTTAAGAAGCTTAACCGAAAAGTGATTCACAATTAACTTCATGGATAAGCTTTTTATTGTTGAACCAGTGCTTAAGTTCTTACTGAATCAAAGCTTATAAGTTATTTACTCATATGTGCCCGCCCTTAGTGTTGATTGTTAGTTGAGATTTTTTAGGGCACTACTGCAAGCAAAATGCCTTTGAATGTATTTTTTTTTTTTGTCAATAATGTTGAAAATATATTGGTTGTGCTCTAATCCCTTCTGCTACATAACATGACATCTCCTCTCTGCAGAGTTTTATTGGCCATGGGAACTCTATAAATGAAGTCAGAACCCAAACATTAAAACCATCACTTGTGATATCTGCAAGCAAAGTAATTGGCTTCTACAAATTTTAACTATTTAAAAAATCTTTTGTTTCTCAATAATGACATTTAAGGTTGATCAGGATGAATCTCTTCGGTTGTGGAATACTCAAACTGGAATATGTATCCTGATATTTGCAGGAGCTGGAGGACACCGCAATGAAGTCCTAAGTGTTGTAAGTGTACTCTCCATCCAGTGTATCTCGTCCTTTTTCTTGTTTACTTACCTACCTATTCGTAGCTATAATATATTTATAATATCTGGACTTTGGAGATTAGCCCAACTAATTTTATGTTTCTTTCTGTAGGACTTTCATCCTTCGGATATATATCGTTTTTGTAGTTGTGGCATGGATACTACCGTAAAAATATGGTCTATAAAGGGTAAGATATTTTGTTTTATGGTAGCTTCTTGATGGTACCTGACTAAAGATGGCAGAGTGAAAAAAATCATATCTCTTTCATCAGTTATAACGAAAATGAAGAAATAAGATAAAATTGATACCTTTTCCACTAGGTGGAGTTGACTACACGGATTAAATGTCACCATTGAGTCAATATTTTTAGGAATGCTATTGAGGGTTCCTTGATCTTTCATCTCCTCTGTTTATCCATCTATCCTATCTTATATATAATCAATTATTATGGATTTGATATACCTTTTTTTATTGTATCTCTGATATTAGTTTCATAATAACATATGCTGCAAGTAGCGATTATTTTTGTAATTTGTAAACAATTCTTGTGCGGAACATTATACCCGTTTCTGTTTACACATTCAGTCAATTGTAATGTACCAACTCTATAATTATCCGTTTCATTTTAATCCATCATGTTCCTTGCGTTTATGCAGATTTCTGGACATATGTAGAAAAATCATTCACATGGACAGATCTTCCTTCAAAGTTCCCAACAAAATTTGTCCAACATCCTGTTAGTAACAATTTATTTTTGGTACGTATCATTGATCTTTGTATAATTCCTAATTCTAGTGATACCTATTTTCAGGTATACAGTGCTTCGGTTCATGTAAATTATGTTGACTGTACTAGGTGGTTGGGTGATTTTATCCTTTCAAAGGTGAGTGATTGCTCAGTGTCAGACTACTCTTCCTTGTGGAATTTAAATGTTATGTTTGTTGTGGAAATAGTATCAGCTTCACGTATCTTATGTAAAGCAGTTGTTTCTGATACTATTTTATTAAAATAGCCAATTAAATTTTGAAAATATTTATGGTAAAACTTTGGTGTAAGTTTGTATGGTATAAATTTTAACGACTTTCTTTGGTAGACAAGCTGAGGTAGCTTTACTGAATTTGATGTTTCTACACTTATCCTTGATGCTCATTTTAAGTGGGAAATAGTCTTCAGTGAAGTTTCTTTGTCTAAAAAAGTTTAATAATTGGGAGACGAGAAGTTATGAAGGTTTTTGAGCAAGTCCTCATTTTAGGCACTCGACAAGGAATCATAGTATCGAGTTTTCAACGAGTTTTCCTCATATTGATATAGTTAATTTGCCAATTCCTTGAGTAATGGATCATTTTACGTTTCCAGAGTGTTGATGATGAAATTATGTTGTGGGAACCAACAGTGAAGGAAGAAATTACAGGAACGGTTAGTTATAATTATTTATTATTATTATTATTATTATCTGTTTTCATTTGTTTTTTTGATATGTAAGTTTTAATCAGCTTCATATTATTTTTTGTGCTTTGTCTGGATTTTTAGGGTGCAGTTGACGTCCTTCAGAAATACCCCATTCCTGCATGTGATATCTGGTTCATCAAGTTTTCATGTGATTTCCATTTCAACATAGCTACAGTAGGTAAGAATGATTGCTTATTTTTAAAATTTATTATTTTCTCTTGTATCAACTGCAGTTCCAGTCCTATAGTGTGATAGTAACTATGGATAATTGGACAATTTGTTGAATACATATTTCTGACAATTTGGACTAGTTCTTTTTGATGGCAAGTCTGTAATTTCAAGATTTTACTTTTGTTTTATGCTCATTTTTTATTTTCTGGGTCTCAGGTAACAGGGAAGGCAAGATTTTTGTTTGGGAAGTGCAGTCATGTCCTCCTGTACTTGCTACAGAGTATGTTGTCTATCAACTGATTATTTCAAAAACAAAACTTAGAGAAAGTTCTATTGATGGTTTGTGTAGTTTTCAATCAGAATTTAAGTTTCATCTCCACAATCTGCAAATAAATATTTGCATTAAAAAGATTATGCAAATTTCTGAGATGAACTCCAATTCTGATTGTAAAAAGCAGTTCAAACAAAGACTTTAAAAAATTGTACCTAAGTTTTATAGTTATTTCAATTCAAAGGTCTTCTACTGTATAAAGTTCTTATGCTTAGTCACACTTTGTTCAGGTTGTCACATCCTCAATCAAACTATCCGATCAGGCAGACTGCTACTTCCTTCGATGGAAGGTAATGCTTGATATATTGATGATGATTCTCATATTTTTGATGCAATATTCTTGTAGTTTTTAACTATAGTCCTCTGTTGTGTGTTATGTTGCAGTACTATATTGAGTTGCTGTGACGATGGGACATTATGGCGCTGGGATGATGTTTCAAACTCTTCAACCTAACTTGCATACATGCAATACCAATCTGACGTGCATGTCAAAAAATCAGGAGCTTGGTTTATTGCGTGTATCTTTGTCTGTTTGTTTATTTTGGTTCGATAAGCCTTATAATGTAAAAGGTTCAACTGAGAACTCATTAGAACTTTGACGTTGTTTAAATAAAATTGAGCCATGCATGTTGCCGGTTTATACAATTTAGAGTTCTTCAGTTCGAATGGTTCTTTCCCCTTTAATATATTATTTAATGGAAAATATTTTCGAAATGAATTAGGGTTTTGCGTGTGAAGCTCGTAATTATCTTCTATGGTGCGAGATGATTTGTTAAGGGTGTTTGAGTTAAATTGTTTAGTAGCGTAGATCTTTATATGTGGTCAATGTTTTCTACGTTCGAAATATGCAGTGAGTAGTTGGTCAATCGTTTTCTTTGTTTTTCAGATAAAGTTATTTTTTATAATGGAAATCAGAGAACTATATGTTGACGTATTTGTTGCAATGTTTTCCGATTTTCCATAAAAGTAGTAACATTATGTTGTATTATTTTTCAAGTGTTTTTATTCCCATGTTAAAGGGTGTTAAGGTTGGTTTTTCATAGGACGTGATCTCATTTGAAGTTTTTATTTATTTTTATTTTAAAATTTATAAAATATTTCTAAAAACAATTTTTAAACGTTACCCAATATATTTTATTTAAGAATCACATTTCTGATTGCAGTATTTCTGATGTGCTTCAAGAAAATCTAACATCGTTCCTTAAAACAAACTCCTGAATACCTGGATATGTTCTCCTTGCACATCTTTCAAGTGTTCTGTTTTTTTAGTAAGATTGAAATTTTGAAGTGTTATGTTTTTGGTTAATAAAGAATTGCCATCAATTTTTTACTCCTTTAAGGCTTCAATGAATCCAACGACTAGCTTGGAGTTATATGAAAGCTCAAAAAAAAGTGGACAACATCCTATATCGACAAATGATAGGTTCACTTTTTGTATCTTATAGTGTCTAGATCTGACATTCAGTGTGTGTTTGTGTACAAGATTTTAGTTAGATCCAAGAGAAACTCACCTAAGCATTGTTAAACGAATATTTCGATATATCAAAGGAACAACCAGTCTTGGTCCATGTTATAAGGGAAGCTTCAAGCTGGAAGTCTACATCGATGTCGATTATGTTGGAGATAAAGTTGAGCGTAAGAGTACAAGTGGAGGGTGCCACTTCATTGGAATAAACCTAGTATCGTGGCTGAACAAGTAGTAGAATACGATCGTATTGTCAATAGCAGAAGCTAAATACATATCAGTCGCACACTCACAACTCTTATGGATCAAGAATCAAGTAGAAGATTTCAACTATTTTGAAGGTAAGATTCCTATCTATTGTGATAATAATGATGCATTTAGCTTATCTAAAAATCCTACATTCCATTCACGCCAAAGCATATTAAGGTTAAACATCACTTCATACGTGATCATGTTAACAAGAGTATTATGGATTTACAATATGGATTTACAATATGTAAACACAAAAGATCAGTTTGCTGGCATCTTCACTAAAGCATTAGTTGAAGATAGACTTTATCGTCTAATTACCCTTATTGGTATGAGAATCATTAAATGAATTTGATTCAACATATGTTAGTCTATGACGTCATATAGCATATAGAGAGTCAAACGTCTATGACACATAGTCTATATGACATCATACATTGCATCATCNGTTTCTGTTTACACATTCAGTCAATTGTAATGTACCAACTCTATAATTATCCGCTTCATTTTATTCCATCATGTTCCTTGCGTTTATGCAGATTTCTGGACATATGTAGAAAAATCATTCACATGGACAGATCTTCCTTCAAAGTTCCCAACAAAATTTGTCCAACTTCCTGTTAGTAACAATTTATTTTTGGTACTTATCTTTGATCTTTGTATAATTCCTAATTCTAGTGATACCTATTTTCAGGTATACATTGCTTCGGTTCATGTAAATTATGTTGACTGTACTAGGTGGTTGGGTGATTTTATCCTTTCAAAGGTGAGTGATTGCTCAGTGTCAGACTACTCTTCCTGGTTGAATTTAAATGTTATTTTTGTTGTGGAAATAGTATTATCAGCTTCACGTATCTTATGTAAAACAGCTGTTTCTGATACTATTTTATTAAAACAACAAATTAATTTTTGAAAATTTTTATGGTAAAACTTTGGTGTAAGTTTGTATGGTATAAATATTAACGACTTTCTTTGGTAGACAAGCTGAGGTAGCTTTACTGAATTTGATGTTTCTACACTTATCCTTGATGCTCATTTTAAGTGGGAAATATGTTTCAGTGAAGTTTCTTTGTCTAAAAAAGTTTAATAATTGGGAGACGAGAAGTTAGGAAGGTTTTTGGGCAAGTCCTCATTTTGGGCACTCCACAATGAATCATAGTATCGAGTTTTCAACGAGTTTTCCTCCTATTGATATAGTTAATTTGCCAATTCCTTGAGTAATGGATCATTTTACGTTTCCAGAGTGTTGATGATGAAATTATGTTGTGGGAACCAACAGTGAAGGAAGAAATTACAGGAACGGTTAGTTATAATTATTTATTATTATTATTATTATTATCTGTTTTCATTTGTTTTTTTGATATGTAAGTTTTAATCAGCTTCATATTATTTTTTGTGCTTTGTCTGGATTTTTAGGGTGCAGTTGACGTCCTTCAGAAATACCCCATTCCTGCATGTGATATCTGGTTCATCAAGTTTTCATGTGATTTCCATTTCAACATAGCTACAGTAGGTAAGAATGATTGCTTATTTTTAAAATTTATTATTTTCTCTTGTATCAACTGCAGTTCCAGTCCTATAGTGTGATAGTAACTATGGATAATTGGACAATTTGTTGAATACATATTTCTGACAATTTGGACTAGTTCTTTTTGATGGCAAGTCTGTAATTTCAAGATTTTACTTTTGTTTTATGCTCATTTTTTATTTTCTGGGTCTCAGGTAACAGGGAAGGCAAGATTTTTGTTTGGGAAGTGCAGTCATGTCCTCCTGTACTTGCTACAGAGTATGTTGTCTATCAACTGATTATTTCAAAAACAAAACTTAGAGAAAGTTCTATTGATGGTTTGTGTAGTTTTCAATCAGAATTTAAGTTTCATCTCCACAATCTGCAAATAAATATTTGCATTAAAAAGATTATGCAAATTTCTGAGATGAACTCCAATTCTGATTGTAAAAAGCAGTTCAAACAAAGACTTTAAAAAATTGTACCTAAGTTTTATAGTTATTTCAATTCAAAGGTCTTCTACTGTATAAAGTTCTTATGCTTAGTCACACTTTGTTCAGGTTGTCACATCCTCAATCAAACTATCCGATCAGGCAGACTGCTACTTCCTTCGATGGAAGGTAATGCTTGATATATTGATGATGATTCTCATATTTTTGATGCAATATTCTTGTAGTTTTTAACTATAGTCCTCTGTTGTGTGTTATGTTGCAGTACTATATTGAGTTGCTGTGACGATGGGACATTATGGCGCTGGGATGATGTTTCAAACTCTTCAACCTAACTTGCATACATGCAATACCAATCTGACGTGCATGTCAAAAAATCAGGAGCTTGGTTTATTGCGTGTATCTTTGTCTGTTTGTTTATTTTGGTTCGATAAGCCTTATAATGTAAAAGGTTCAACTGAGAACTCATTAGAACTTTGACGTTGTTTAAATAAAATTGAGCCATGCATGTTGCCGGTTTATACAATTTAGAGTTCTTCAGTTCGAATGGTTCTTTCCCCTTTAATATATTATTTAATGGAAAATATTTTCGAAATGAATTAGGGTTTTGCGTGTGAAGCTCGTAATTATCTTCTATGGTGCGAGATGATTTGTTAAGGGTGTTTGAGTTAAATTGTTTAGTAGCGTAGATCTTTATATGTGGTCAATGTTTTCTACGTTCGAAATATGCAGTGAGTAGTTGGTCAATCGTTTTCTTTGTTTTTCAGATAAAGTTATTTTTTATAATGGAAATCAGAGAACTATATGTTGACGTATTTGTTGCAATGTTTTCCGATTTTCCATAAAAGTAGTAACATTATGTTGTATTATTTTTCAAGTGTTTTTATTCCCATGTTAAAGGGTGTTAAGGTTGGTTTTTCATAGGACGTGATCTCATTTGAAGTTTTTATTTATTTTTATTTTAAAATTTATAAAATATTTCTAAAAACAATTTTTAAACGTTACCCAATATATTTTATTTAAGAATCACATTTCTGATTGCAGTATTTCTGATGTGCTTCAAGAAAATCTAACATCGTTCCTTAAAACAAACTCCTGAATACCTGGATATGTTCTCCTTGCACATCTTTCAAGTGTTCTGTTTTTTTAGTAAGATTGAAATTTTGAAGTGTTATGTTTTTGGTTAATAAAGAATTGCCATCAATTTTTTACTCCTTTAAGGCTTCAATGAATCCAACGACTAGCTTGGAGTTATATGAAAGCTCAAAAAAAAGTGGACAACATCCTATATCGACAAATGATAGGTTCACTTTTTGTATCTTATAGTGTCTAGATCTGACATTCAGTGTGTGTTTGTGTACAAGATTTTAGTTAGATCCAAGAGAAACTCACCTAAGCATTGTTAAACGAATATTTCGATATATCAAAGGAACAACCAGTCTTGGTCCATGTTATAAGGGAAGCTTCAAGCTGGAAGTCTACATCGATGTCGATTATGTTGGAGATAAAGTTGAGCGTAAGAGTACAAGTGGAGGGTGCCACTTCATTGGAATAAACCTAGTATCGTGGCTGAACAAGTAGTAGAATACGATCGTATTGTCAATAGCAGAAGCTAAATACATATCAGTCGCACACTCACAACTCTTATGGATCAAGAATCAAGTAGAAGATTTCAACTATTTTGAAGGTAAGATTCCTATCTATTGTGATAATAATGATGCATTTAGCTTATCTAAAAATCCTACATTCCATTCACGCCAAAGCATATTAAGGTTAAACATCACTTCATACGTGATCATGTTAACAAGAGTATTATGGATTTACAATATGGATTTACAATATGTAAACACAAAAGATCAGTTTGCTGGCATCTTCACTAAAGCATTAGTTGAAGATAGACTTTATCGTCTAATTACCCTTATTGGTATGAGAATCATTAAATGAATTTGATTCAACATATGTTAGTCTATGACGTCATATAGCATATAGAGAGTCAAACGTCTATGACACATAGTCTATATGACATCATACATTGCATCATCTAAGATAAATCGTTTACAAGATATCTGCATACATGCATTAGGTTGTGTCTAAATGCCGAACCCTTCTCTAGATTTTCAAACCCAAATCCTTCTCTTTCCAATATGCTCAATATCTCCTGAGGGTCAATCAACCTATTATTCCTATCACCAATTCTCTATCTTTCTCTCTTCATCGAGAATACAAATTCTCTGACTCCGCCACTCTTCTCATTCTTATGTTACACAAAAACTCTAATCCAAAATTTCTCGATCTTCAAGAGGTACAATATCTCTTTTCAAAATCTATCCGTACTAAGCGCATTAAATGAACGAGACATATCAATCGCCCATGATTAACTTTTCCCTCTATTTAACTCAACTCTTACCTTCACATTCTCAACTCATTCACTCTTCCAAAACTCCAACTTTTCTCTCTCATTTTTATGCCCTCTCAAACTCATAATTTCTCAAACTCTCAACATTATGAACCCATGAAGCCTTCTTCCAAACCTTCAAACCATCATTATCATCGCATCTGATCATCGAACCAAGATGAATATAGTAATCCATCATCCTTTCCTACTATTGTATTTAGAACTTACTTGCCTTATGCAAGTAGTTCTTCCACCTAACCTGCATCCTTCATGATCGGACCCTACATTACCCAATCACCACTATCTTTCTTTCATCCTTCCTTCTTTTGCCTCAGCTTATTTTTCCTCTTCCCTTTTAAACCACCCTATCCATCTCCTTTCCCTTCTGTCTTATGGAATCCTTCCTTCCTAACCTTCTTCTCCTTCCTATTCATTCAACTCCATGTGTCCACATGTTGTCCTATCCCTTCATGACCCTTTTCTTCTCCCTTTCTTCCAGTTCCCTCTGTCGGATGATGATGTTTTTTTTCTTCTTCCCTTTTGATGTTTATCAAATAACTATTTATCCTTTGTTAGAAGAGTTTTGGAGTTTTTGTTCTTAAACAATAAGAGAGATACTTCCTCATTGGTATTAATTTAGTAATCGGGATTCTGAATATGTTTCAAAATAAAATTTCCTGAAGATTTTCAAAATAGACAATCTACAAATGTATAAGGAGTAATCCATTCATAAAATATTTCTACATTATAATCCTGAATTCAGAATAGTGTATATGATTAAGTAATCTGAAATAGTTATTTAATCATTCATGACATTATGCATTATTATGAATTGTGTATTTTATAACCAGTATTAATGTTTATGTTATCGGGAATGCTGAATTATTGTTCTAAAAATGATATTTTAGAAAATTTTATATAAGCGCTTTGTATTATAGTTTGATTGTTCTCTATATTAATATATAATAAATCAAGTATAATACTTAAAACAATTTAAATTGATAATAAAATTAATCATTATATCTAATGTCAATAGGATTTGGGTGTCTATCACTCGTTTTTAATAATTGAACTTTTGTGTTTTGAATTAAGGTAGTTTGTTTACAATTTGTTATTCATTATTCATAGGAATGTTGGATCTTTTCTTCTAGTTATTTAAAGAACTAATTTTATGAGGTTAATTTTGATGTCAAGGGAAAAGAGTTTTCAAAGATTCAAAATTAAAGAATAAGAGAGCAACTTCATCACATAAGCCTTAATCTATAACTTTTCTCAAGAGTTATGAACACAAAAAAATTTAAGCTTCTTGAAGAATCTTAGATATTTGAAATGAATATTATTAAAAATTGATATGTATAATTAATAAGTTTAATTGATTAAGTGAAAATAAATTATTTATTCCATGATTATTCTTAAAACATAATAGAAAGACTATATTAAATTTACAATATAAGGTTATTGATCTCGAAGGCATATGATTGACGACCACTATTGATATGTTAGACTAGAGCATGAGCATTTTAACATTGTTTTTCATGCTTTTTGATGGTTGTATTTATTGTTTAAGGTTGTTTCTTTCTGCACCGTATATTTTCTTCTTACCCCTCATAGCTTAAAGGAGAATGACCTAAATAGCCTTTATTTAAAAATTATTAAAAATTCTAATATGAAAAATCCTAAACCTATCTCCATATAAAACAACTTCATTGCCAAAAGGCACATCTCCATTGTCGGAAGGCTACAATGACGTGCATCTTCATTGATCGGAATTCCCTGAACCTCCATTACTTGAAGTTTGAAGGTTTGCACCTTGAATCTCCACACCATCATCTATAAAAGGAGTAATTCTCCCTGCACCTCTATGAATTCTCCCTGCACCTCCAAATTTATTATATTGCCCTTCTGAATTTACAAAAAGAATGAAAGAATCTTTTAATGAGATTATTTTTCAAAAATTAAAAGCCTAACCCTACACCCGAAAACCCATTCCAATTTCCCCCACCACACTCCCTCTCTTGCTCTCTGGCGGCGACTCTATTTCCCTTCTTCTCTCGTCGCTCCTTGTCTTCCTTCTTACGTTGTTGTACCTTTCCCTCTTTCTCTCGGCTGCATCTCTCTATGTCTCAGTCGCGCTTTGCATTAAGGTTGGGGCTTTCTTTTCCATTTATAATAAAAGGACAACCTCATTCCGGTAATTTCGTTCACTTTTGATTGTTTTGAGTTGAGAGGTTATACATTGATGGTTCTGATCCGTGGTGGTGGTGATCCGTGGAGGTCCTTAGTTCAATATTTAAATCAAACACACTTAACCGCAGTTGGAGCTGCGGTTTAGGTGCCGTTGTTCGAACAACGTTTTTACATAGCCGCATACGGTTCGCCTTAGTCGCATATCGAACTGCGGACAACCCGGAACCAGAACCGCACTTCCAAGTGCGCCGGCATGCATCCTCGAAAACCAACCGCAGATCCACTTGCGGCTGCCATCAGCCGCAGATCCAACTGCGGCGCCACCAAATCTGCACTTCATAGTGCGACGGCCGTTAAACATATGCAGATCAACAAGATTTTTTTCCCACACCCACAGGATCAAGCAAAAATGAAAATACCGCAACAAACGGTAAACAAACGAGCGACATGGAGGAGGAGAAGGAATACCGCAACACGTTCAAAAATGATAAAAAAGGAGGGAGGAGAAGAGGAGGGGAGGACGACTAGAGGGAGAAAGAAGAAATAATCAAGGGGTGTTGGATTTGAGGTGAGATGCGACAGAGGAAATGGTCAAATTTATTTTACTGGGTGAACTTTTTATAAAACCATATGCTTTTGACACTCGTAGGTAGACTTAGGGTACAGTTGGAATTAAAACAAAATTAGGAGGTGCTGGATGAAGTTTGGAAGGTGCAAGGAGAATCGCTCCTATAAAAATATAAAAGTTTTAGTACCATTTCCTTTCTTGGTGTTGACCATGGTTAAAATTTGATTAATTAAGATTAGTTTAGCTTATTTTTCTAGTTTTTATAAAGCTAAGCTTAAAAATAAGAATTTTAATATTATAGTTTAATATATTTGATGAATTTATATTTTAATTTAAAAATAATATTTTTAAAAGTTAATATTTCTTGAATTAGATGTTCT